GTTGGCTACATCTCTGTTTGTTTTACGATACGTGAAGCAGTCACGTAAATTACACGGGAAATACAACCCTGCAAGGGAGGAGCATGCCTTATCTACGGCATTTTCAATGCCAATGTCGCATATGTCCAAAGATGAGCGGTTAATTTGAAGCATAATTTGTGATATAGTGATATGTGAATTCGGCAATTCGCTATTCTTTGTATTTATTGTGCCATGTACCTTTACTTTGAGCTGTAAGATCTTTTTACAGGTCATATCTGTTTGGTGATAATGCAGCATTTGTCTGGCATTTGACAATAGGTTAAACTGCATGCATTGGGTCTCTTTCCAAATTCTCTTGCGATCAAAGTTGTAAGAGACCAGGTTTACTGAGAAGTGTGAAACATGTTTCTATATTACTTTTGTATTTCCAAAATGGGTTTATAAGTCGTGTGTATAGATGACCATAAAGTGCACTTAATAGAGTTCTTGTTTGCTTGGTTTGAGAAGTTTTTTGCCAGGAAGGGTGACTTTATCATGCATTAGAAGCGCAGAAACTTAGTTTATGAGATGTACTGTGAAAGTCGAGAAAAGCCTGAACATCTGCTATGCACAGATACATAAACAAGAGTTGAAACTCAAACAAAGCCTGTTGTTCAAATCTAATGGACGCAGGCTAAGATTGATATTAAGTTTTTTAGTTGGGTAGAAAACGAGTCTTCCTTTTACTGACTCATGGAAATCAATGGTGGAAGCAAGTTGTTTCGTATACATCATTGAGATCTATTGAGGAGCGCTGTTTTTTGATGTCCGCTCTTATAAAACTAAAGTGTTCAGGCGTAAGTTCAAGTGTTGGTGAGAAGTACTTTATAGAACGACAAGGTCACTTTCAGTATAGCTCTCTAACCCGAAGACAGAAGAGGATATCGTACTGGTTTTCAAGAATTTTGCTGTCATCCTAGGGGTCATTCACCTATGGATATCCTTTACAGTACGTTTCTTTCAGAACCCCACTGCATAAGCTTAACTGTATTTCTATCACTTGACAAACACTCCGAATGCCGTGACTACTCTCTGTGAAAATTCTGGGTTTACTTAGCCCGTTACGTGGCTTTGGAAAAGGAAAAGTGTGTGTGCAAACCCTCTAAAAGGTGTCCTGTTAAATGTACAACTTCTACAGAGTGCACCTTCACCATGCTCCGCAAAGCTGAGAAATTTTTTGCAGAGATTCAAGCGCGTTAGTTTCTCGGCAATCTTTTTTTTAGAACCTATGAAGAGCTTTGCAAGATAGAATAGAAGTATTTGGGATTAGGTAGAGAGAATGATTTTTAGGAAAGCATTTTCTAAAATTGCATGGATATTGGTGCCTGAATAGGGTACGATGCGAATGGTGGTTAAGAATGGACCAGTAACCTGAGGTTAGATATCTTTGCGCGCCGAATCAT